TGTAAGCGCATAAGACAGTGCAAATTATTTCTGTGACAGTCTTTTGAAGTGTGTAAAGCTCCATTTTATCCCATACATAGTCAAAATATTGGGGGGAAATGATACAATGGACCATCCCCCTTGTCAAATATTGGGGGGGGGGAATATATTCCCCCCCCCCCAATGTGTGGTGTGGTTGCCTACTCCTGCAACGTTTACCAGTAGCAACACTTAAAACATGGGGACCCAATGATCAGGGAAAAAGGAGCGACTTTAATCTACAAAAAATGGCGCTGTCCCATAGCAGGTCGAGATCCATGAAAAGTCGTATATAAAGATGTGAGTTACCCACATCTTTATATTTACACAAGTAATTAAAATTGATTAAAACAGATTAATCTCACTGATAAACAATTCTACTATATTTGGCTGGTGTATATGAACTTCTATTTAGAGACATAATTTCATTATTTTCTTTCCAAAAATATTATTGAACGTTAACTAGCACCTCATAACGACTTTTGAATGATAAAAATCGGCTCGGTATAACACATTTTACCGAGTACGAAATTTAAGTTAGTGGAACATACTGCTGTTACATCTTCTAATTTTACCCCGCCGTTGTATTTAGGTACACGCTACAGTACACACAATGAGCCAACAACTTGGATAGCAGAGTTCCGCATGAGTGATTCACCCCACATCTTTATATGTCTCAGTTAACTCTTGAATGGTTTCATGGACCTTCTCAGGACTTTTTTCCTAACCCACATCTTTATAATCTACTTTTGCTGAGAGTTCCGCTTGAACAATTCCGTGGAGCTTTTGGTTTCTGCGCATGACATGTTTCCAATGGGGATTTATCTGTTGAGCATAATCTCTGAAGAGAGAAGCCCTGGCAGCTACCTGACTATGGATTTTTTTTGTTTTATTATTTTTAGCTTTAAATTGCTGGCAGCTAGCTATTGAAGCCTAGTCTTGCTTATTTTGTATTGTCTGTTTTTGTTTTTGCAATTGGAAATTATGATTAAAAATATTTTTGGTAGTTAAAAAAGCTTCTCCAAAAACATGTAAACAAACATTAAAGAAAAACATATTGCAATCCATGCAGCCTTTCTGGAATTTATTGTTTAGAGACGCCATGTACAAACAAAGCAACAAGTTTCAGGTTCTAAATTTCTATTAGTATTTAAATATGCTTTACACAATAAACTATTTACATATACTGTAACTGATTACTAAAATATACAATACATTGTCAATCATGAATAAAAATGCTGGAATGAATACATATGATATGCTGAAAACCAACATAATGTAAAGAAAAATAAATAAAAATAAGGCATTCTTGCTGCACTATTAAATAATTAAATTGTATACACATAATTACAATATTATTGCACTGGGTTGTTTGTAGCATTAAGTACCTGTACTTGGCAGATTAAATTACAATCACTAAAAAACATTTGTTATGTGTATACAGCTAATAGAAGATTATTAACATTTCATTAGGATATCATTATTTAACTTTAAAGCCAAATGCCAATATTTGGATACTTTAATTAGGACATTATTAAAAATTCATTATGAGATTATTACTTAACTTGAAGCCAAGTGTACCTATACTTGGCTGATTAAATTACAATCACTAAAAAAAACATTTTTTTATGTATATAGAGCTACAGTAATTAGGAGATTGTTAAAATTTCATTGGGATATCATAATTTAACTTTAAAGCCAAGTGCCTATTGGCTGATGAAATTACAATCACTAAAAACATTTTTTTGTGTATATACAGCTAATCAGGACATTATTAAAAAATCATTGTGATATTATTTTTTAACTTTAAAGCCAAGTGCCTTTACA